GAGAGAGAGAGAGAGAGAGAGAGAGAGAGAGAGAGAGAGAGAGACCGACCGAGAGATTGATTTCTATTGAGGGCATATATCTTTTTTTTTTCTAAGCTCTAGCAGTTCTTAGTTATTTTTTTTAAGTCATAGATGCCTGATGAGAGGTATAACTCCTTTCCCCACTAAAATGAACATATATACATGCAAAACTTTCATACAATTTCAGGCAGACCACAGAGGTGGCCAGTTGAGAACACCTATTCTAAGTTAAGCAAGTATGGTTAGGGGGAGAGTCCCTTGAGTCTGGGCATCCCCAGTGCTCAGCTGAGGGGGCACCAAAGTGGGCATGGGCGTCAGGCCCTGACCCTGCAGCAAGGCTGGGTTCTCCCTGGATGCCCTGTGGTGAGGAGGCCAGAAGTGAGAGGAGGCTGCACCAGGATGCACCTCTCAAGCCAGGTGGTAGCTGCAGACAGTGTTAGGATCAATGTTAACTTGTACATCGTGGATGAGGGCAGAGAAGGCAGACCTGGGTGCTTCCCCCAGCTATCACTTCTCCAGGCTTCATGGAAACCCACAGCTGCAGGGGTAGGTGGGAACAGAAATCCCTTCTACGCATCCCTGAGTTAACTCTGTGGGAATTGGGAGGATGGAGGGAAGGCAGAAGCCACAGGCACCTACTCAGGTTAGTCACCTGAGTAAAGGTGGCATTTACCACCTTGGTCACCTGTCTACGTATACCTTTGGAGTGAGCAACAGAGTCAGATGCCTGACTGCAGGAGATGAGAGGTTTTGGCATATGGGAGGGGGTAGAGGGGCAGCACCTTTCTCCCTTCCCTCTTGACAAGGCGGAGAGGATGGGACGGTTTCTGCATCCCTCACGCACTCAGCTGCCTCTGCCTTAATAGACTTGAATCTAATACAGCGGAAGGTGTTCAGAACAGCCATCAAGTAAGAAGAGGTTCACACAGCAGTCAAACAAGACTTTGGGACATTAAATACATGTCTTTTTTTTTAAAATGTGAACTCTTGCTTTCCAAGTTTTTTTTTTTTAAAGATTTTTATTGGGGAATTGGGGGGATGGGAACAGTGGTGGGGAATTGGGGAAAGGGGAACAGACAAGTTGCTGTCGTTTTCTTCAGTCTAGTTGTGGAGGACGTTGCTTCACTGGCCTAAGTTGGCACCATCATTGTGCTCTTCCCCGGCGAGGCAGATCAGTCGCCAGCTTCTGGACGGCTGCTCATTGCGGCTGCTGGCCACTCACGCTGCCTGCTGACTATACACGGTAGCCCATGGCAACCCACTGCAGCAGGGGCTGCAGACTACCGCCATCGCCGGCGACTCAAAGCAACCCAGCTCCAGGTTGAGCTGTTGTTCAGCATCTTAGCTGTAGAGGGCAGTGTCACTGGCTCTCATATGTGGGATCCGAACCGGGGCCCTCTGGCGTCCCAAGCCAGTTCTTAACCATCGCGCCACTCGGCCGGCCCAATACATGTGTTTTTTAAATCAAACAAAACAAGATTGTTTTGCTTTTATTTTATCAAATTGCAAGTTAATTCAAAAGCAGAAAAAGTAATAGATAATTTGCATAAAAAGGCTAAGATTAAACGACTAGTCATCTCTGTCAGGACTAATTCATAAATCATGTGAAAAATTCCAGTTATAAATATTAAATATATTAAATAAATATTAAAACAGGTTAGTATTTTTAGGAAGTTGCTATTTGGCTATAAGCAGTAGAAGCATTTTCTTTGTGTTATAAATAAATATAATGAAATTAATGAGACCTTTTGGGTTTTTCTCTGTCACTTAAATTCTTCTTCACTCAAATGAAAATGGCATCATTTTATTTTCTCAATAGAAAAGTAATGTATTATTGATTTTTTAAAAAATGAACAGAAAAGTTTAAGGAAGTCAGACAATCTCACTACCTGTATCCTTTTCTGAGATCTTTCCTCCCATTTCGTATAAGGATGCAGGGGAAATGCTGGACCTTCATGGCTGGTGGGTCATGTGGAAGGGAGAGACGGTTGGACAGGATAAGTGAAACAAGCTATTCCTCAGAGAGGAAGAAAAGACCAATGGACATGGGAGCAGATGCAGTTTCTGCTTGTAACTAAAGAAAGGCAAATCCCAACCACAAGGAGAAGCTATCCCCGATTTCTGGGATTGGCAGAGGAAAATGAGTGGCAGGACCTGATGTGGTGAGGACGGAAAGTGGTGGGCCGGCTCCAGCCGCACTGCTGGTGGGAGTGGTAATTGGGGTCCTGAGCTCACCAGTGACGTGGCCCTCACGTGAGTAGAAGCGACGTGTGCAGACGCCCTTCTAATCCTGGTCTTCGTTTGGTCCGGTTGCCATCTGCCTATTGCCCCAAGGGCGGGCGGGCCTGTGGCCAGGAAAGGAGGAGGAGGTAACTGTCCGGATCCCAGCAGATCTGTGCGTGGAACGGGCGCTGCCTGGGAGATCCCTGAGGTGCAGGTAGTGGAGGGTGGAGATCGAAGAGGGACAAGGCTTTCTTTCCCCAAAGACTTGCACTATCCCCTGCCCTTCCAAGATCAAAAATGTTGGACATTGGGGGCTGTATTCCAGGGGAGACCCCAGATCAGGAGGGTTTCGAGAAACCTTTGGCTTCCAGGGCCTGGAATCAGGAAGGGCACTTTGTTTGGATTCCTGCCCTGTGTGCTGGTCCATCTACCAAGCCAGAATTTGGAGGCTGTGCGTATGTTATTCCTCTTGTCTTTCAGTAGGGCGCTGTACTACTCGGAGCAGAAGATCTGCCCTGAATCCCTGCATGTCAGTGCAAAGGGGGAATTGCCCCGTGGCCCCGAGAAAGGCGGGGATGGCTTAAGTCCTTACCTTAACTTGGGCCCATCAATCAATGACTCTCCAGCTATCTCCCTGCTGTTTTTTGTAGGAAAAAGGATGTGACAGCACCTACAAGAAAAATTGTTGTCATTGGGGGTGGGACTGCATCGGGGAGGGGGATCGAAGAATTCTTTAAGTCTTTATCTCTTCTAGTTTTCCGTAGTCCCTCGCCCCGCCTCCCTTCTTTCCAGTTGTCCCAAAGGGGTGTGGTTTTTGCTGGGAAAATGGCCGACCGCTGAGAGTGGAGGGTAGGGGTT